CGCAGCTGTGGGGCTCTGCTGACAGGAGATTTAGCCAGCTGCTGGCATCGAATGCTCCTGGGACGGAGGAGCCCAAGGAAACTCAGCGGGCCCTTCCAGAGACAGGAGATTCCACCACGTCTCGGCTGCCGACTACACTTCTGCCACTGCATCCTTACCTGCAGCGGCGACTGTTGGCCTCTGGCTTGGAAGTGTTTGTCTTACCACATGCACACCCGGAGGGCAGCTTAGAGGTGCACTTGGAGATGCATGCGGGTAGTACTGCGGAGGCTGAAAATGAGCGGGGCATGGCGCATCTTTGTGAGCACCTCGTCTTCATGGGAAACCGAAGGCGAGGAGAGGTCGTGGCCCTGCAAGGAGAGGCCAACGCCTTCACGGACTTCCACCACACAGTGTACTTTGTGAGCTGGCGAGGGGGTGAAGGCAACGGCTCGGAAGGCCAAAAGGCTCGAAGAGGACAGGAGCAACAAACTGCAAGCCGTCAAGACTGGAGCCTGCGCAGGCTCAGAGCAGCGCTGGAGATGATGCGAGAAGTCTTCACGGTATTCCTTGCCAACCCNTGCACTACTGTGTGTTAAACTGGTGCAAACGGTAGTTTTGCTCGTGCGATCTGTTGGCTGTGCCGGTGCGTCTCAAGGCTCCCACCCAGTTCACCGCCGAGAGGCTTCTCAAAGAGAAGGCCGCAGTCATCTCGGAGTCGTCCCTAGTGAACACGATCTTCTACAGAAAGGAACAGGCACAGCTATCCAAGTTGCATAGCGATACCATCCTGCCCTCCCGTTTCCCCATCGGGGACATGGGACTCCTCCGCAGTTGGAGCGTCGAGGATGTGCACAAGTTCTTCGCTCGATTTTACCGTCCAGAGAACGCCACCTTGTACATCGTGGGAGACATGGCTCCGCTTGCGGCCCTTGATTGTGTAGACAACATCCTCGGATATGTTCAGGGAGACAGACAGGGGGAGGCGGAGTGGCGTGTACTCCGTGACCGGTGGCTGCAGAGCACAGTCAAGAAACAGTAAGTAACTGGGCACATAGCAGCCCTCCCCTACGGTGGCGACCATAAGGCTTCTCTTTCTCCAGTTTCACCCGGTCCTGGTAGGACGGCATCGATCCAGCCCATGGTCAGTGCGGTTGGCGTTCTCCTGTGTTCCTTGTGGCGGTTTGCGCAGTTCGGTTTTTTTTCCTCCTTTGGCCCATGCCTGGACTAAAGAGGACAAGATTGCCAATGCCGCAGCGAGCCCTGCAGCTACGAATACCGTCAAAGCAAATGGGCCGGGCTCACCCACGGAGAAAACAGACTCATCTGCGGTGCCTCTTGCGAGTCTGCTGAAGTCGCGTTTGCATGCGTGGCAGCATCCGCTATTGCAGCACTTCTCGCTACTCTTCCTCCGGAAGCTCCCTATAGCCGCCCTGCAAACGGCGGGCGACTTCTTTCGCCTCCTTGCTCGCAAACTTGCCCTGCAGGCCCTTGCCGTGAGATTAACAGAACGATGCCGCCGAGAGGATGACACGTGGATGCGTGTGGAGGT